ATATATATGCCAGTCCACATGTGTGGGGACCAGAGGTCAATGGTGGGTGGGTTTTGATTTTTGTTTGAGACAAGGATCTGTCTCTATATAGCCCTGACTATTCTGGAACTCACTATGTAGATCAGGCTGCCTAGGAACTCAGTAATCTGCCTACTTCTGCATCCCAAGTGCTCAGATTAAAGGCATGTGCTACCACACCCAGCTTCATCTTATTTTTGAGATAGGATCTTTGGCTGTCCAGTGAGCTCCAAAAGACCTGTCTCTGCCAGCACTGATTACAGGCATGTGCTGCCACATCTAACTTTTACATTGGTGCCAGGGACCTAAACTCAGGCCTTCATGCTTGTACAGCATGTGTCTCATCAACTGACCCTCTATCTTCCTAGACCCCAGAATTCTTTACCCTCTCTGGAAACCCTAGGCATTCTGTACACCTTCACAAAAGGGCATAGGGTTGCCACTATCTCTAGTAAGAGGAGAACATCATACATAAAAAGAGAAAACCAGCATGGCTAAATGATGGGAGGGTCGAGGGTGGGGATTACTACAGAACTCATACAGAAGTTTTTCAGGCGTGGGTCACTGTGACAGTGAGTTGGGATCCCCAGGACCTATGTAAAAGCTGAGCTTTTCCTACTAGTGCTACTAGGTATCACTTGCCCATTTATTCTCTGCCCCATTGACTGTCCAGAGTGTCTGCAGTCAGCCTCTACCCTTGACCATACCTGCTTGGGTCCACCACTCTGGACAGAGGCAGCCTCTCTCACAGCAGCTAAGGGTAAACCTATACTAATTTGTTGCATTCCTCTGCTCTAGATCCTATTGTGGCTTTCTGCTTGGATGTAATGTAAAACTCCAAATCCTTCTCATGTACAGCAAAGTCCTGTTATCTGCCTATGTGTTTTCCCTCCTTCTGACCACCTACCCTTTCCATCTTAGCTTACCCTGCTCCGGTCATGCAGGCTCCCTTGATGGTTCCTTACACACACAAGCACACATCTGCTCCAAGGTCTTTACACAACTTGCTTCCTCTGATCTTTTAGGTCTCTGCATAAATGCCACCATCTCTAAGAGCTCCTCCTAAGACAAGTTCACATACTGTTGTGTGTGTGACACACATATATGCCCCCTTTTCTTCATACCATCAACCTTGCCTATAAGTACCTCAGTGTCTACTGACTCTCAAATAGTATTTTCATGCTCTCACCTTGACTGGAGTCTGGATTTCGCTTTTTTCCTCTCCTCTCTAGCTCATTCTCTGTTGCCAGGCAGACCACAGAATAGCTGGAATTACAGGTCTACACCAACAAAGTATAGTTCAGCATCTGCCACATTCTCAGTCTGAGTACTACAGACATGCTCAGAACTGGGAGAAGCAAACTGCTACAAATGAGACACTTTCCTCCCACCCATGGGTTTATGAGTGCATCTGTATGTGTCAATGCATGTGTGTGAAGGTGCTCAAGCTAATTACTGAAGGCTGTGAGCTGCCCGATATGGGTGCTAGGAACCAAACTTGGGTCCTCTATATGAACAAGTGCCTCTAACTGCCAAGCCATCCTACATGCCACTCCATTTTTTTTTTTTTTTTATTTTTTAGACAGGGTCTCACTATGTAACCTTGGACTAGCCTAGAACTATATAGAACAGGCTAGTCTTGAACTCAAAGGGATGTCTGCCTCTGCCTCCCAAGTGCTGAGATTGTATGTGTACAAGCATGGGTATAATGTATATGCAAGATATGAGAAAGTTTCATAAAGATCCAAAGAAGACTGCCAGATAAGTGATGGGTGCAAAAGCCTTGGAGCAGATGTGTGCTTTTGTGTTTAAGAACCAAGCAAGTCATGTGCCACATACCTGGCTGTTTTGTGTTTTAGATTTACTTTTGGGAGGGCAGGAACCTTTAATCCCAGCAGAGGTTGACTCTTGTCTTGGGAGTTTTTGGCCAGCTAGGTCTACATAATGACTATATAGCAAGACCTGTCCCAAATCCTCAAACCTTGTGATCTTCCCATCTCTGTCTCATGAGTGCTGATGAGTGCTGGAATAACAGATATGAGCCACTAAAACCCAGCTTTACCATGTTGGTTCCAAACTTTAGTTTTCGGCTATAGGTCTCCTTAATCTGCTAAACGTATCTGGTCTAACCACCTGGCTATCTTCAGACAGCTCAGGAAGTCAGGAAATACCCACCTCATTTCCCTCAAACCTATTTGCTCACATCTATTGATGAATCCTTCACTGCTGGTCTTGCACCTTGGTTCATCTGTTCATTCTCTTGCCCCAATCACCTGGTCCTGCTGATGTCACCTACTGATACTCACATGCTCCTCTCTCCAGATAACTCACCTCTTGGCCCTTCCCCAAAGCAGCTTCCATATAGTCCCAGTATTGTCTTTCAGAAACACAGACCTGTTCATTACTACATTAAATATTGGCTCTGGACAGCAAAATGCATGGTACACTGAGGTTTCCTGGCTCTTCTTAGCCAAAGACAATACCATTTCCGGTGTCTAGAACCGGACTCATGTCGTGCTAGTTGCCACTCAGATGCAAATTCAGGGCAGGGACTTCTGGCCTACTCAGCAAATCTGAGTGCCAATGCTGCCAACCTTTTACACTTGGCCTGGGAAATATTTCTTACCTTCTTGGTTTTAACTTTAATCTCCAACTGTTAAGTTTGAATACTACCTTGAGGGGCTGGAGTAGTGGCCCTGGGTTTGATTCCCACATGATAACTCACAACTATCTACAAAGCCAGTTCCAGGGGATCTGATACACTCTAATGGCTTCCACAGGCACCAAGCACACAAATAGTGCACTGACATACATGTAGGCAAAGCACCCATACAAATAAAAAATAACCTAGCAAACCCCCCCCCAGCTTAGAGTGACATGGTGCATCTCAAGGCCTCTCAGTATAGTGCACGGCACAATGAAGCTCCCATTGAGAACTGCATTCTTACTGTATCTACAGACATCACCCCTCAGAAACTAACACCAGAACTCAGGATTGGGGACAAAACCCATTAAAACTCCAAGAACTAAAGTAATTTCATTGCCACAAATAATTAAATGGCAAAATGAAACCACGAAGGAATGGAGATAGCTTTGAAGAGTAGGAATAGTACGGTTGGATAGACCCATGACTCAGCTTTTGGAGATGAGGGTGTGTACCACTAAGGAAGAGCTGGCTGACAAGCTTCCTCCCCCACTCTGTCCCTCCTTTATGCCCACAGATTCACTCCGCTGGTCACATTCCCTCTATATGAGGGTGCCTACATGGCTCAGGGTATCACTTCACAAAGGCTTACCAGAGCTTTAAGTCATCCAATATATATGGTCTTCATTGAGAGCCATCCAGAGATCCTAGAATCCTCTTAGAGAACTACACAGCCCTCTACACCATTTAATGTGAAGCTTAAATAAATAAATAAATAAATAAATAAATAAATAAATCCACCATGATGGCATGATGGGCAGTGGTGGCGAAGGTTTTTAATTGCAGCACCCAGGAGGTAGAGGCAAGTGGATCTCTGTCAGTTCAAGGCCAGCCTGGATTACAGATCGAGTTCCAGGACAGGCTCCAAAGCTACACAGAGAAACCCTGCCTGGGTGGTTGGCGGTGGGGGATCCACCACATGAGCTGGAAAGATGTTCTTTCCAGAGGATCCCAGCTTGATTTCTAACACCAATTTTCTAGAAATTCACAAACCTATACCTTAAGTTCCAGAGGATCTGGTATCTTCTCTTGCCACACCCCCAAAGGTGTGTTGCTGTTTTACCTTGCAGAGGAGGGATAGGCAAGGCTAGTGGGTAGAGAGAAAAAGAGAGAACAAGAGAAGGAGATGCCCAGGGCCAGCCAGATATGGAGGACGCAGTAAGAAAGACATACAGAATGAAAGAAAGGTAAAATGTCCTCAGGCAAAACATAGATGAGGACAAATGCAGGTTAAATGAAGTTAGAAGAGCTAGTGGGACAAGCATAAACTAAGGATGACCATTCATAAACATAAAGTAAAAATATTCTTTATGGAAAAACACTAATTTTCTATTATAAAAGGATCATTTGAAGTTTTAAAAGGCTTCATTTGCAAGGTAAAAGGGTTGAAAGGCTATTAAAACTGTAAATTCTTCATAACTAAATAGAACCAAAATGAAGTAAACTCTGCTATTCTGTGCTATACATATATGGTTATACCGCAACCAGCCACAAAATCTGTTCCTTCTCTTTTTCTGCTTCTATGAGCCAGAGCACCTCAACGTAATCAGACTGGCCTTGAATTTTTGATCTTCCTGCCTTAGCCTCCAGAACCCTGGGATTAGAGACCACCATGCCTACATCCAATCAGAACACTTCTGAAAGTAAAAGGGTATATAATTATATTTAAAAAAACAAAAACAAAAAAAACCCCATACAATTCATAAAACCAGGCACAGTGGTAAACAACACACACCCTTACTCTCAGAGCTGAGAAAAAGGTTATTTGTACCTAAGCGTTTGTTGGCAATACAACAACTCCTTTACCCCACTCCCCACCAAAGGGAGACATTGATGCTATATGTCCCACTGATAAGGTAATGTGTGAATCTGTATTCCCTAGTGTGCCTTGCTTCCTCAAAGTCAAGAAAGCTGACCGGCACAAGCACCCTGGGACATGTGGTTAGCGCTACTAAAAAAGTAAACAGTCTATAGTTCATCATGTCGTGCCCCATTCTTTCTACCCTCCCCCACCTCACTACTATTGAACCTAGGGGCTTGTGCATGCTAGGCAAGTGCTCTAGCACTGAGCTTTACCCCAGCCCTCTTTTTGTGTTAGGACAGGGTCTTGATGGCCTTTAATTCTGCAGCCCAGGCAGACCTTAAATTTATAACTTGTCTTAATCTCTCAAGTACATAGGATTATAGGCCTGTGTTACCTGCCTGGCCTAGAGGTGGGTTTTAACATGAAGACTTTCTCCTTCCATGAGACACTTAACCACACAGTGACCACAATGGCTGAGATGAAATTTCAATGGGCATTAACTCTCTGGTCAAGCCCCTCTCCCCAACAATTCCAGCTTCTACAGATGTGAAGCTGGTCTACTGCATGTGTCTCCCGGAACTGCTAATTTTCTGGAGGATTCAGGGCCAGGTGCTGTTCCCATTCAACTTCAACCAACTTGTACAGCTCCATGGTGGCCTGGGCATCTTCCACTGAGGAATGTCCACTTTTCCCAGCCTAAAGGGGAACATTGAAGAAAACAAGAATTATTTATTCTGTTTCCAGACAACTCTGGACTCCCTACAACCACCCCATATTTTCTTCTACAGTTTATGAGCTGTAGTCAGAACTCTGCTGGGGCCCTATTCCCTAGCACATCTCTGAGGTTCAAATCCCAGGAAGCCAGCTATTGTCTAATACACTCTTTCTTCCTTTCTCCCTCTCTCTCTCTCTCTCTCTCTCTCTCTCTCTCTCTCTCTCTCTCTCTCTCTCTCTCTCTCTCCCTCCCTCCCTTTTGGAACTAGCTTTGTAGACCAGGCTGATCTGGAACAGAGATCCACCTGCCTCTGTTTTCCAAATGCTGGGATTAATTAATTAAAGGTGTACACTACCACCTCCTGGCTAATATACTTATTTCTGTAGCAATGTATATGTATCTTATTATTTAAGTTCTGCACAGGCAGGACATTTCAGGTCAAAGACAGGCCTTCTGAGTATTGTTTCTTAAATGTTCTCCACGTGACATGTATCCACAGCTCTGTATTCTGTGGCCACTCCCCCTGACTGACTGCTGAGCATGTGAAATGCTTGAGTAGTATTCTTTTCCCACTGTACAGTCTATGAGGTACACAGGAATCATTTCTCCTTACACACAGAGAAGTTACCTGGATGTCCCGGTTCAGCAGCTTCTTGGTGAGATGCTTCAGTGACAAAGTAACATTTTCTGGGCAGTCAGCCTTCCGATTGAGGAGTGGTATTTGGGAAGTGTCTCTCGTGAGGGACTTGGGATGGAAGTACTGTAGGGCTTTGTAGTCATTATGGATGGCATGCCCTATCACTATCTTCCCTGTGAGTATCTTTAAGATCTGGAATGAGCACATAAGGAGGTGAAAGATGGAGCTCCTACACCCTGAAGGCCCAACATGGTCACCATATAGCATACCACCAAGCTCCCGTCTGCCCCCATCCATTCTTGAAATGCTCTCTTCCACGGTGTTCCACCTTCAGAAACCCACCTCGCTTCCCTAGAGAACTTTTATATGTAATCCCATTTGGATCTACATCACCAGAGGTTCCTTACCTGTTTATTAATTTCCATCCCAATAATGGTCTTTAGTATCCCCCCCCACACATACTCCCACCCAAATGCCAAGCAAATGCTCTACCACTGACCTATACCCCTAGTTGCTTCCTTCAGTCTTCAATGGCATATACATTAAAGATGCTGGCCATGAACTCAGCAGTTAAGAATGAATACTGGTCCAAGAGAACCAGTGTTTCGCTTCTGGTATCCATGTAGGGATGACTCACTGCCTATGATCCTAATTTCAGAGGATTTGACAGCCTCTTTTGGTCTCTGCAGGCACTGTACTCACATATAAAAACACAAACAAACATATATATACATAATTTAAAAAAAATCTTTACAAAAAAAATCAATCACTAGGCAAGGTTGCATAAATCTACAATCCCAGCACACAGAAAGCTGAGGCAAGTGAACTGCAAGCTAAAGTACAGCCTGAGCTACATGAGATCCTTCTCAAAAAAACAGGGCTGGATCTAGGGATGTGGCTCAGAGCGCTTGCCCAGAGTGCATTAAACCCCGGGTTGGAACCCCAGCTACAATAACTAGGCATATTGGCACAGGCCTGTAATCCCTATACTTGGAAGATGAAGGCAGGAAGAACCAAAGTTAAAGGTCATCCTTGGCCTCATAGCAAATTTGAGGCTAGTCTGGGATATATTCCCAACACTGTAAACCAAGTGTGGTAGCACATGCCTATCATCATAACACTCAAGGGGGGGGGATCAGAAAAATCAGGGTTATTGTTTGTTATAATCACTGGGACTGTCTAGAGAAAGCAAAGAGCAAGGATCTCAAATTGCAAAGCAGATCAAGGGTGCCCTCTGGTGGCCTCCCAGGACCAGCTGACCCATCTCACTTCCTTTATTTTTCTCACCCTACCCTCCACTCCTGTTCATTCTAGCTCTGGACTAGAATGAGCAGCTTTGCTAAGAGAGGGATGAGAACCCCCTACAAGTCTTGTGTCTCTTATGTCTTTTACTACAGGCCTCTCAGATGGCCCCAGAAAGCGCATCCTGGGAACTGGAGTTACAGTTGAAGATGAATTGCCAGACAGATACTGAGAATGGAACCCAGGTCCTCTGCAAGAGTAGCAAGTGCTCTTAACTTTGGAGCCACCTCTCCAGCCCATTTTTATTTTGTTTGTGTAAAAATTCTGCCTCAGCCAGGTAGTGGTGGTGCACGCCTTTAATCCCAGCACTGGGGCGGCAGAGGCAGGCTGATCTCTGTGAGTTCAAGGCCAGCCTGGTCCACCGAACAAGTGTTAGGAGAGGCTCCAAAGCTATACAGAGAAACTTTGTCTAGAAAAAATAAAAAAACAAAAAGTTCTGCTGATAGAAGATGTCATTCTATAAATACATTTCTCATATTGGTTAATGAATAAAGCACTGTTGGCCAATAGGAAAGCAAGATAGGTGGGACTAGGAGACAAGGAGGAGAGGAGAAAGGAGGAAGGAGATTCAACATGTAGGAAGGAGAGAGAACAGAGGTCCGGTAAGATAAAACCACATGGAAATACTTATGGGTTAATATTTAAGTAGAGCTAGCCAATAAGAAATGCTAGTAACAGGCTAACAGCTTTATATCTAATAGTGTCTCTGTGTGATATTTGGGGCTGGCGCAGCTGTGGGACCAGGCAGGAAGGTGGGAAAACATGTAGGTAACATTCTGCCTCCTGCTAACAACACTTTTAGCACTTGCCCCAAGCAACTTTCATTCCTGTTGTTCTGCCCACTTCTATCACCTGCTCACTGGCTGTTAATTCTTGAGGTCAACTCTACCACACACTTAAAGTAGATCTCAATCAGTAAAATTACTTTCACTACTTAGTTTGACTTCCTGACTTAATAATCTTATGATTGATGGGGGATGTCCTTCTGTATATATGTTTCTCTTATTGGTTGATGAATAAAACACTGGCCAATAGAGGCAGGAAGATAGATGGGACTAGGACAAGAATTCTGGGAAAAGTAGGCAGAAAAAGACTGTGGGAAGACCTCAGAGGAATAAGTGATAGGTCTGGACTCTTCTCCAGTAACACAAGACCACACGGAAATACTTAGGTTTATAGAGATAGGTTAATAATTAAGACAGAACTAGCCAATAAGAAGCCCTAGCCATCCGCCAAAGGTTTAATAATTAATACAGTGCCCTGGTGGGACAAGAAACTCCAGCAACATATGATAGTTAAGCTTGCCAATTTGCCAAGATCTAGAATCAAGCAGAGACAAACTTCTGGGCATGTCTGTGAGGGAGCGTGTTTCTAGAGAGTTAATGAGATACCACCCTAAATGGTAGTAACCAGCTGCATGCCTCACACTCCAGTATATCACCATACTGAACCTTCAAACTATAAACCAAAATACCCCTTTCATAGCAGTTAAGTAACTAATACAGAAGAATAGTAGAGGGGTGGTGCTTTGAATGAGAATGGCCACCATTTGCTCATATATTCAAATGCTTAGTCCCTAGTTGGTGAACTATTTAGGAAGGATCAGAAGTGTGGCCCGAGTGGGGGTGTGTCACTGGGGGGGGTGGGCTTTGAAGTTTCAAAAGCCCATGCCAAACCCAGTGTCTGTCTTTCTTTGCCAGCAGTCTGTAAAGGATGTAAAGCTCTCAGCCACTGCCCCATTGCCAGCCTGTTTCCTGCCATCATGGTTATCAACTAGCCCTCTAAACCTGTAAGCAAGCCCCCAGTTAAAGGCTCATGGTCTCTTCAAAGCAGCAGAACAGTAACTAAGACCCTGACCATGTGGTTCTTAGGTCTTTACAACTGTTTTAGAGGAGGAATGGAGGAGTACAGAACTGTGGTTTACACAAGCCCTAGAATGGTGCACACAGAGCTCAACAGAGCTTCGAGGATCTGGTGGGATCCTCGAAGAAGAGAATCCCAAGAGACATGTCAACAATGAGGCCTGGCTCACAAGAGTCCAGAGAATTTGAGTGAGGCTGAATTAAAAAGTAATGGACTAATTTGTATGGCAGAGGATATTTCTACCCCAGCTGTGTGAAGGTGAATGCTCACTGCTCTTATCCAGGTCTACAGCGAATGAGAGCATGAACATTAAAATATGGGGGGGGGGGAATGCAGTCTGGTGAGGAAAGGAACATACATACATTTAAAGCTATGAAATGTAATACCTTCGTTGGGATAAGGGAAAAGGTGACTTAAGGGCCTTGCCAACCACAGAAAGCCCCAAGATGTGAAAACACACATTCATTTAAATGAAGAAAGCTGAACTGAGGATCCTGCTTAAAAACAGCACTTAGGAAAGAGTTTTCAACTAATTTTTCATCAAAGCCTACAGCAGTCCCTACAGGGGACCAGACTGTATTTTGAGCTGGAGGCAGAACTTTACAATATGTGACACTGATCTTAGGGCATGAAAAAAGCATCAAGATTCCTGAAGGTCATTTGGGGGCCAAGCCTTATGTGGCAGGGTTGGTGTCCCTTCAAGGAGACCCCTGCACAAAGCTGTGAAGGTGAAACCTATAATGCAGGATCTGGGATTTTGGAAATGGCAAAACCATATTGTATTTGTCAAGAAAAGCTGCAGGCACAGAGCGAAGCTAACCCAACAAAGGGACTCTGTGTGCTGTAGGCAGCAGAGCTGCAAGGGCTGGGCTACCTATGACCCTGGCAGTCCAGATAATACCATCACAAGTACCTGATGCTAGACATAGAGCTGGAGGCCCTGCTGTCTGCCCTGCTGAGTTTCAGTATCACTCTGGTTTACTCTTTCCTTGCCATGTCCCTGGGCAGTTGCTTCTGGGTGCTATAAGCAAGCCAGGAAGGAGGAAGGCAGTAAGCAATTCCAAGGTTTCTTCTTCAGTTTCTGCCTCCAGCTTTCTGCCTTGAATTCCTACTCTGAGTTCCCTTCTTGGACTACAATTATAAGCTAAAACAAACCCTTTCCTCCCCAAGTTGCTTTTAGTCAAGGTGTTTTATCACAGCAATAGAAATTCTAAGACAGAAAATGGTATCCGGATGTGGGATATTGCTGTGATCAAACTAACCATGTGTTTTTGGGAGGATAGTGAAAGGACTTTGGAATTTGGGGCTGGAAAAGCCATTAAGTGTTGTTCAAAATTTAGAACTTAAAAGATAATACTGAGAGCAGTGCAGAAGAAGAAAGTTGGCTTGTGAAGTTTCACGGGGAAGTTTTAAAGTCCCTTAAAGACTCTATCAAGGGCCAGGCATTTACCTTTATTCTCAGCACTCAGGAGGCAGAGGGAGGAGGATCTGTGAGTTCAGGGCCAGCCTGATCTACAGTGAATTCTAGAAAAGCCACAGCTATATAGTGAGATCCTATCTTGAAAAAACAAATCAACAAAAGAGGAGGAGGAAGCATCACTCAGGTGAACTCTTCTGGCAAGTACTTCTCCAGAATCAGCACACACAAGCTATGTTCCAGCCAAGGCTGCATCTCATGCTGGTAGCCACATGTAAGTCACCCATGTGGGGGCTGAAGCGATAGCTCAGTGGTTAAGAGCACTGGTTGCTCTTCTAGAAGTCCTGAGTTCAGTTCCCAGCAACCACATGACAGCTCAACCACATGATAACTCACAACCATCTGTAATAAAATATGGTGCCCTCTTCTGGCCTGCAGGGGTACATGCAGATAGAACTGTATACATTTATTAAAAAAAAAAAAAAAAAAAAAAAAGTCACCCATGTAGTACTGCTTTTGAAAATCATGATGAGATCACGGAGAGGCATTTGAAGGTATAGCTTTAGTTGTAGTAGAAGACCCAAGACTGAAGGGATCGTGACGAAAAGTTATGGCCTGGCACCAGGTGGCAAGGTGTCACTGTCCCTGAAGAAAGCCCAGGAGAGGCTACTGGTAAAGATGCCCTGTTGAAGTAGAGACCCCAGCATTTTGGAGATGCAAGTGCCTGGGATGACCACCAAGCAGAGCAGTAACTTTGGGATGGAGCCAGCCTGAGCCTAGGAGAAAAGCTGTGTGTGCTGTGGCAAGTTTCTTGGAGCCTAGAAAATCATGAGTCTCAGAACATGACACTTAAGCTTTATACCGTTGGATTTCAGTTTTGTTTTCCTTCGATTGTGAGACTGTGTCCTGGGTCTTTCCTTTGGAAATAAGAAAGTATTTAAACTTGTTTTTGATTTTACAGGAAACCATTGTTACGATACTTTAGAGAAACTTTGGGATTCTGAAGAGACTTGAGATATTTTAAAGCGACTGAACTCTTAAAGTCTGAAATTTTTTTTAAAGTTTAGAACATTTTATATTGTGCTACTGATATTAATATGACATATTGGGGACAAGAAAAGAAAGGTTATGATTTAACAATAATGTGTTTGTGTGTCAAGTTAACAAGCGGTCTATTGTACTAGTTTTATGTCAATTTGAGACATGTATCTGGGAAGAGGGAATCTTGAGAAAATGCCTCCACAAGATTGAAGTCTGTGGTGCATTTTCTTTATGGTGACTGAGGCAGGTGGTCCTGGGTGTTATAAGAAAGCAGGCTAAGGCCAGGCGTTGGTGGCGCACATCTTTAGTCCCAGCATTCAGGAGGCAGAGGCAGGCAGATCTCTGTGAGTTCAAGGCCCCCTGGTCTATAGAGCGAGTTCCAGGACAGGCTCCAAAGCAATACAGATAAACCCTGTCTTGAAAAAAACAAAAACAAAAAACAACACAACAACAATAACAAAAAAAAAAAAAAAGAAAAAAAAAGAAATCAGGCTAAGCAAGGCAGGAGGGAGTAAGCTAGTAAGTAACATTTCTCCTTGGACTCTGCTTCAGTTCCTGCCTTGAGTTCTAATTCTAACTTCCCTCTGGCTGGATTACAACTATAAAATAAACACTTTTCTCTCCAAGATGCTTTTGTTTAGGATATTTTATCACAAAGAAACCATAACAAGACAGGTAGGTTCTAGGAAATCTAAATTTGGTCCTTTTGTAACTCTAGTTGGCCTGGAACATACAAAGATCCACCTATCTCTGCCTCCTGAGTGCTGGGAATAAAGTTGTGCTCCACCACGCTCAGCCTTTGTGTTTTGATGTGATGGGGCTCACAGTTAAAAGTCTAAGTTTCAGAAACTCTCTGTACTTTTATTTTTGAACAGTGTTTAGACTGTTAACAGACTATGGAGACCTTTGAAACTGAACTAAATCCATTTTGAATTATGAGATGGCTATGAGCTTGTGAGGACTGAGGATGGAAGGTTACGGCTAAAATGTGTTATGTGTGTGCATCAAGTTGACAAGGGGTGGACTTATGACAGAACTATGTACTTGAAAGAACCAAGAATTATCTAGAAGACAAATTTCTGAGTGTGCGTGTGAGCTTTTTGGTTGGGTTAACTGAGGTTAACCTATTCATTCCTAGGGTGAATGAAAAAGAATCAGAGACTCAGCATTCATTTCTCTGCTTTCCTGACTGCTCAATAGCAGCACCCTGCTCTTGCTGCCATGATTTCTATGCTGTGATGGAATGTATCTTTAAACTGGCAAATAAATCTGTTAAATCCTTTGGTCAGGTATTTTGTCACAGCCACCAGAAAAACAATTCCTTACTCCAGTAGGAAACCTTACTCATGTGACGTTATTCTCCCTCCCTTCACAATCCTTCGACACCTCCCCAGAATATCACTTGCTGAAGGGCTCTCCCAACCCCTCACTACTGTCTAGCCCCACGCTCCTCACCTGACTCCGAGCAATCTTGAAGGGTGTAGCATTAACCATGTGGCATTTTCGGATGCCACTCCATCTGGTCCGGTAGTCCACAATATGGCAGGGAGGGAGGATGTAGTCGTCATAAAGCACATCTCCATTGTAGTTCACAATGCTGCATCGAGCCAAGGAACTCACACGTCCCTTGGGTCCTGTGCCCACCATTTCACAGTCCACTGCCACCATCTTCCCCGGCAAGTTTTGGGATACTTTAAGGCACTTTTCCTCTGAACGAGCTTGGGCAGAATTTTGTGCAGCATTTTTCAAGGACTTCTTGGAGCCTTTATTCTCAGACTGAGCTTGGCTGGAGTTCTGTGTAGCACTCTTCTGTGAGGGCTTCTTGGAACTCTTACTCTCTGAATGAGCTTGGCTGGAGTTCTCTGCATTTTTCTTTAAGGGCTTCTTGGAGCCCTTCTTCTGGGTGTGAGATGGATGGCTCTTAATCTTTGGAAGGGCACTCTGAAACTCCCCTAGCAAATCTATTTTAGCCACAACAGAATTAGTCTTCTTTGAAGGAGCAGGGGTCAGCCAAGACAATGATGCTTTCTTGTCTGTGGACTGCTCTGACTCCCTCTTGGAGGCAGCTGCCTCCTTCTTCTTTGGGCTTGGAAGTTTCTTCAAAATGCCATCTACTCTTGAAGAAGACTGCCCCTTCTTTGGAGGTTCTGAGTGCAACTTAGATACCTTGCTAGGAGGTTGGTTCTTTTTATTCAGAAATCCTCTCTGTTCCAAGAACCGTCGCTTCTTGACAAAACGTTGGTGCTTGGCATTTCCTCCAAATGCCTTTTTTGGAGGTTCCCCAAAGTCCAAATTCAGGAGTATGGTAGACATGAGGACAGTGAATGTTGGGAGAGCAGTTGGGAAGAATGGCTTACTGATGGAAGAAGGCTGAGGGGCTCATTCTCTGTAGAATCCCATAGTCCACACATGTGTAGGTCTGCAATTAGCCCTGGGGACAAAAGTAATCCTGATACCTTCACCATAGGCCTGGGGGGGAAAAAAAGATAAGACCAATTCTGGAAGGATTAAGAGACACTGAGGCAAGGGCTAGAGAGAGATGGCCCAGCAGTTAAGAGCACTGACTGCTCTTCCAAAGGACACCAGTTCAATTCCCAGCAACTACATGGCAGCTCACAAACCAGTCCCAGAGGATGCCATAGGCAAAACACCAATGCACATAAAATGAAAATAAACAATTTATTTAAAAGAGAGAAAGAGAGATACTGAGGCAAGCCGATACTATTTGAAGCCCTACAATTCATTTTCTTGTAGATCTTAAAAGGGATATATTTCCGCTCTCCAGATCAAAGTGTCTTTACTTACTTATTTATTATTTTTAATGGAGATACTGGGGCTGGAGAGATGACTTAGTTAAGGGTATTTGCTGCTTTGGGAGAGACACAGGGTTCAGTTCCCAGCACGCATGTGGCAGTTCACAACATCCATAACTCCAGTTTCAGGGGGATGCCTTCTGATCTCTGCAGACCCCAGGCACTTACACGGTACACATAGACATAGACATAGACATATATGTGTGTGTGTATATATATATATATATATATATATATATATATATATATATGCATGCAAGCAAAGCACACAAATAAAAGTTCTAATAATATAAAGATGCTGAGGCTGGGGATAAAAAGGGGTTGTGGAGCCCACGGAGTCCCAACTCTGCCAGGTCTATGAAGTCAAAACAAGAGTGTTCTGCAAACAGCAGAGAAGCGAAACTCCTAAGTACGTTTGCCAGCTGTGAGAGGATACAGCACTGATGTCCTCTGGACTACCCAGGGCATCCTCAGCGAGGGACCAGAAGTGAAGAGCTCTCACTCGGCTCCGCGTGGGGGCGACCTTCTCACGCCCCTCACCTGTCGTTTCCGCCCCGGCCCCCGCCCCATAGCAAGGACCTGTGACACCTCACATCGCCACAAGGTCTGAGTGGAGGAGACTCCAGAATCCAGGAGGACCACCTCGTCCAGCACACTCTGATGGTCCGCGAGGTGACCACCCCGCACGCCTACCTGCAGCTTGGGTCCCACTAAGATCGCAAGCGTCCGGAGCCGGATGCGGACGCAGGCGCACGCCGACGTACACCGCCGGGACGGCAGGAGCGCGGGTGGCAGCGCGAAGGCGGCCGGCGCACACGCGCCCTCAGCGCCCCCGCCTCAGGCAGCGAGGCCAGCGACTCCGAGTGTGTGAGCAGCGGCAGCGGCGGAGGAGGCGGCGGTGGCGTGGGTGGGGGCGGGGGCGGGATACGCTCCCCGGCCCCTCGGGCCCCGTGGAGGTACAACTCGAAGGTGGTGGGCCGCGGGAAGCGGAACAGCGCGCGCCGGAACCGTGGCCCCACTTCCGGGAGGGAGGGCGGGACCTACAGCTGGCCGCCCCGCGATGAGCCGGTACTGGGCGCGCCTCTGTGACGTCACCGAGACCCCTCGCGCCTCCAGCGCGAATGGCCTTCCTCGGTGGAATCTGTGACATTTGACTAGTGCTCCTTGTGTTTTCAACCTGGACGCGATTTCGGGAAGAGTTGTTGTAGGGCGGTTTCGGAGTTCTTGCTTCGCTTTGGGCCTGCAGAGTTGACCCCGGCTCGGGTCTCACGCCCCTGTGGTTCCGACCTTGGATCTCACCTCCTCCCTCCTTGCACTGGCAGTCGGGCCCCAAGATGCCTGGCGTCTCAGCCCGTGGCCTCTCTCATGAGGAGAGAAGACAGCTGGCTGTGAACATCACCCGCGTCCTGGCGCTCTACCGTTCCATCCTGGACGCCTACATCATCGTGAGGCCACTGGGCTGAGGGCAGGCGCTTCTGGTGGTGGGGATGGTTAGAAAGCTACTACAAAGGAGATCTGGAGACAGCTTTTGTCTCTTCTGAGTTTCAGCCTGTACAGGAAAACTGAAGACTAGAATAATTCCTTTCCCAGCCTTCTCTCTCTAGTACTTAAGTTCCTCTATAACCTTCAGAACCAACATTTGGGCTGTGCTGCAATTGCGTTGACCTTTCCTAGAAGCACGAGATGTTCCAGAGCATACATGTTCAGGCTTTGAATATATTTCTGGTTTTGTGGTATAGCGAGCAGTTGAGCTTTGATGTCAGACAGAGCTGAACTAGAATTTGCCTCTACTGTTGACTTTGAACTATTTCTTTCCACTTTCACCCCTATGCCGGTTTTCTTGACCATAAAATCGATCCCTAACTGGAGGATATTGGGGAAAGGAATGAGATAACATATCCATGTCACCATCTTCAGAATTTCTCAAGCCACCATGCATTCACATTTTTGCCTCTACCTTCCCAATGCATTGGAAATTCATCCCCCTTTTCCTCCCCTTGTTGTTTTGGAGACAGGGTTTCACTCTATTTCAGGCTAGTCTGAACCCTTGCTGACCCTCCTACTTCAGCCTCTTAAATACTGAGGTTATAAGAATGAGGCACCGCACCCAGCTAACAATATAACTTCTCATTGTAAAACCTTGTTCTTTTCTTGGGGGGAGGGTTGGTTTTTCAAGATAGACCTTGCTGTCATGAAACTTGCTCTGTAGACCAAGCTGGCCTCAAACTCAGAGATCCATCTGCCTCTACCTCTTGAGTGCTGGGATTAAATGTGTGTGCCACACACAAGGTTGTGCATGACACAACCTTGCTTCTTAAATTTTTAAAAATTTTTTATTATGTGTGGGTGCCCAATGAGGCCAGGATGTTGGGTCCTGGAGCTGAGGTTTATAGTCTTTGTTCCTCAGCAAGAGCAGCAAGTGCTCTTAGTTCCTGAGCTATTTCTCCAGACTCTCTTGTTTCTTAGGTGCTTTAATGGAATGCTGATTCCTTGCCATTGTCTACATGATCTAATGTCTGCTGCCTCTCTGTCTCTGTCAAATTTTGTTCTCTTCCCACTTTGACTACTCTGCAGTCATTGAGCTGTCAGGAATGGTCCTCCACTAAAAGGCAGTAAAACTGTATTGATGAAGAAGTACTTGGCCAGATGTGGTGCACACCTGTAATCCTAGCACCTGAGAACTAGATTCAGATGAATCAGGAGTCCATCTTCACCTGGGCTACAAAACAATTCCAGCCGGGCAGTGGTTTTGCATACCTTTAATCCCAGCACTTGGGAGGGATCCTGGCAGAGGCAGATGGATCTCTATGAGTTTTAGGCCATCCTGGTCTACAAAGCTACACAGAGAAACCCTGTCTCAAAAACCAAACAAACAAAAAGTTCCAGACCAGCCTAGAGTGGATTACTTTACTTTAAAGAAAAGAAAAGCAGGTCAGCCATGCATAATGGTGCCTGCCTGTAATCCTACCCTTCAGAAGACAGAGGCAGGTAAACTGCCTTGATTATTTTTCAGCCAGCTCAAACTATTTTGAGATTCCTCCCATCCCCACCCCCAAACACATAGAAAAGCTCCTACAAAGGCTTGTTGGTAGGGAGCTGTAACTTTAGAGCAGTGATTCTCAACCTTCCTAATGCTTAGATAATTTAATATAGTTCCTCATGTTGTGGTGACCTCAACCATAAAATTATTTCATTGCTACTTTGTAACTATAAATTTGCTGCTGTTAGAAATAATAATATAAATATCTGATGTACAAGAAACCTGATATGTGACTCCCAGAGGTTGAGAACTGCTGCTTTTGAGTTAATGCTTGTCTAGGGCTAGAGAGATGACACTGTAGTTAAAAGCATGCTGTGTTAGTCATTGGTGGGGCATACCTTTAATCTCAGCCCTTGGGAGGCAGAAGTGTGTGGATCTCTGATTTCAAGGCCAGCCTGGTCCACAAAGTTCTAGGACAACCAGGACTGTTACACAAAGTTTTTTTTTGTTGTTGTTGTTTTTTGGGGGTTTTTTTGTTTGTTTTTTTTGTTTTTGTTTTTGTCTAGCTATGAGACCCTGTGTTAAATCCCTAATTACTGCATACATATATATATGTATGTATGTATGTATATATGGCATTTTTTTTTTTAAATTGAAGGGTCTGTGGTGGTATGAGACACTTTAATTGCAGAGCTTGGATTGCAGAGGCAGGCAGTCTCTTGAGTCCCAAGCTAGTGAAGTGCTACATAGTAGGATCAGTCTCAAAAAACAAACAAAGTAAGTCCTCTAAACTAAAAAAACGTAAACAAATTGCTTGCTTAGGTATTTTCAGAATAGTGAAAATATATGTGAATTTACTTTTGCTTGTATTTTCTTTATATGACAACTCTGAACTGAAGTGTCAGCTCAAACTTTTTTTTTTTTTTTTTTTTTTTTTTTGGGTCTATGAGGTTTAAAGTAGTTGTCCATTAAGCTCTCTGTTTAATAGTTTCATGGGTATTTTATTGAATATAGTATTTATGTTAACTGAAATCATTATTTGCATTAGTTTGCAATGCTGGAGATGGAACCCAAGATCAAGTGCATAGTCATCAAGCACTCTTTATGTATTTATGTATGTATTTATTTATTGTGTATACAGTGTTCTGTCTGCATGTATGCTTGCAGGCCAGAAGAGGACATCAGATCTCATTACAGGTGGTTGTGAGCCACCATGTGGTTGCTGGGAATTGAATTCAGGACCTCTGCAAGAGCAGCCAGCGCTCTTAACCACTGAGCTATCCAGCCCCATCAAGCATTCTTTGTGTTGTTTGTTTGTTTTTCAAAACATGGGCTTTTTGTGTAGTCCTGGCTGGCCTTGAACTCACAGAGATCTCCCTACCTCTGCTTCCAGAATGCTGGGATTAAAGGTGTGTGCCAGCACTGAATGCCTCATTAAGTTCTTGACTTTGAGTTAAATGTCTATTGCTGAATTTTATTTTACAAAGTAAATTCTGCATGTACAAGACACTTGTCTCTCCAAGTTTAGAATAGATTTTGAAGGATAAATAAAGTCTCAGAATTTTTTTATTAGATGGGGATCTCTCTATATAACTCTGGCTGTCCTGGAACACTGTATAGACCAGGCTAACCTTGAATTCACAGAGATCTTTTGCTTCTGCCTACTGAATGCTGGGAAAAGGTGTGTGCCACTATGCCAGGCTGCAAACCATTTTCTGGAGACTGTTTACCAGAAGACAGGATAGGTGGTCTTGCCATCAGGGTTGTAGAGACCAGAATCTGATTCACTGGCAGGTAACTCCCCTAACAACTAAGGCTTTTAAATTGTTTTTTAATTAGTTGATTATTCTCAGAAGGGAGAATATATTCCTGCTGGGATCATTTGGTGTTCACCCCCAAAGCCTCAGAATTAAAAAGAACAAATGAATGAGTTAAAATTCACAGCTGTCTATATCATAAAATAGCAGGTACTTAATGGCTACTTGTTAATGCTATGTATCAGTTACTGATCATGCTAGGGATGCAGATATTTAAAAAAAATTGGTCAAGCCAGGCATTATGCATTATGGTGTCTGCCTTGGGGCAGAGGCAGATCTCTGGATTCTATGCCAGCCTTCTATACATTTCAGTTTCAGGACTATCTTTAAAAAAAAAGAAAAGAAAAAGCCAGGTATGATGTACCTTTAATCCCAGGGAGACAGAGGGATAGGCTAACCTGGTCTATAGAACAAGTTCTGGGACACCCATGGTTACACAGAGAAACCCTGTCTCACAAACAAACCAATAAACAACAAAACAAAAAAAAAAAAAAAAAAAAAGGAAAAAAAGAAAAAAAAAAAAAGAAATTGAATGGAGAAAGCAGACACAAATAAATGGGGGCATTAATAAAATGAAAAGTATGTGCAGAATGCAATCTCTGTACCACCCCAGCACTAGTGGAAGCTGGGGGCAGACTTGAGCTGATATAGATGAACAGGAGAGACCTGCTGGTGGCATCTGGTTGTCTTGGCCACTAGTGCCAGAAAAAGGCAGGTGATGAGGTGGAGCATTGAAATGGAGCTGAGAAAATGGGAACAGTAGTAGAGTCCTTCTGACTGCTTGGCTCCTTCTCCTGCAGGAATTTTTCACCGACAGCCTGTGGGGCACACTCCCTAACTCATGGCAAGAAGCGCTGGATGGACTAAACCCACCACAACTGGCCACCCTGCTACTGGGGATGCCCAGGGAAGGGGAGGAGATCAGGTATGTGCAAGCAGAGGAGCCCTGTGCTGGGGAATGAGAGCACTGAGCCATGTATTGAGCCTTATGTAGATAGTCTCATTACATCTTTTGGCCTGCCAGGTCATAAGCTTGTACACTCAGGATGTGATTGTGGGCTATTCACTGGCAGCCTGGGCTGGACTATCTCAGGTACAGGTCCGTGTGGCCACTCACCCTGCTGGCCCTGAAGTCCACAGCCTGTGCCCTCGCCTTTACCCGGACACCTGGCTTTCAGACCCCGTCAGAGTTCCTGGAGAACCCCAGCCAAAGCTCCCGACTAACAGCACCTTTTCGGAAACATGTCAAGCCCAAAAAGCAGCATGAGATCCGGAGGCTGGGAGAGGTGAGGAGGCTGTTAAGAGGCTAGGCTGAGAGCCTGTGGGTTATAGAGGTGTGTGGTCTTTACTGCACGTGCAGGGACCAGCAGTTTTGTAAGTCCCCTTCCTTAGCGGGCATGCTAGGGTCCTATCTTGTTGGTGCTGGGAGGCTTTCCTGTTTTCTGAGTTGGTTGGCAGCTGTGTGGGAGTGACTGTTTTACTCCTGTTCACTGCAGTCAGTTTTTTACTTCACAGCCTACAGGGTTCTTGCTCCTGGTCATTGACTAAAGAGGCAAGCAGACTAGGCTAAATAAATACCTACCATCATCCTCAGTTCTGGATTGACATCTCATGTCTCTGTGACATCCTCAGTGTTTCCCTCTGTCACCTCGGCTCCTCTACCATCCTTATGACTTCAGGAGTCAGGAGCCAATGCCAAGAAGAGACTTTTGTTTCCTCCTCTTTCAGTTGGTGAAGAAGCTGAGTGATCTCACTGGCTGCACCCAGGTTGTGGATGTGGGCTCAGGCCAGGTGAGTCAGACTTTCAACATATTGTCTGTTTGAATTATGAGGATAGGATACCTGGGAAGGCAGATTAGCAGACCTAAGGTGTGTGTGGGGTGAGGGGAGCCTTTGGGGCCTGGGACCCAGTTGTCCATACCACTGATAGGGTGACAGTCGATAGGGCACTGAACGGTGCTGTCCTCCCTCATGACTGTAGGGTCATCTCTCCCGTTTCATGTCTCTTGGGCTGGGGCTGATGGTGAAGAGCCTTGAAGGAAATCAAAGGCTGGTTAGCAGAGCCCAGCGCCTAGACCAGGAGCTTCTGCAGGCTCTAGACAAAATGGAGAAGAGGCACCCAAAGGTAAGCTTCTTGCTGCCTGCACTACAGGAGCAGTGTGCTTGGCTGGAACTGTATATTAAAACTCATTTTCTACTTCCAAGTTTCTCAGTTGGAGATGGTCCCTATTTCTGCTATTTTGCCCCTTTTCCCCAAAGCATCCCCACATCTCAAAGGCACTTTCTAGTTTGTGTAAGTAATTTCCACACCAGTACGTTCTCATTTTAAACTATGTGTGGCCAGATGGGTGTTAGTATTTGCTGTGCTAGAGATGGAACCCATTGCCACTGAGCTATATCCGTCTCATTGCCAATGAGAAATGGAAGAGCTAAGATACAGCTTAGTGGTAAGACACTTGTCTAAGCATTCATCAGGCCCTAGGTTCTGTCCCCAGCAAAAGCAAAAGGGAACCTGAGCTAGGTATGGTGGTACATGCCTGTAATCCCAGCACTGGGGAGGCATGGACAGGATCCATGCAGATAGTTGGCTGAAATGGTGGGCTCATCTTCTGGTTCAGAGTCTAGCTCTCTTGTGCTCAGCTTTTCTCCCATATAACTAAGAGGAGGCCTGAGGGTAACCACCCAACTTTACATCTGCCTTTTTTTTTCTCTTCCCTTAGGTGGTACAAAGAGGCCCCCGACATTCCCCCCATCACGTGGTTAAGTGGGTCAGCCCCACAGCCCTGTGTGAGGAGCTTCTGCTTCCTCTGGAGACATCAGGCCAAGGTAGTGCCCGCCTGCTACTCACGGGCCTCCATGCTTGTGGGGATCTGAGTGTTGCCTTGCTGAGACACTTCTGCTGCTGTTCTGAAGTGGTGGCCCTAGCCTCTGTGGGCTGCTGCTACATGAAACTCAGCGACCCTGGAAGCTACCCACTGAGTCAGTGGGTGGCTGGGCTGCCTGGCCATGAACTACCCTACAGGCTCCGGGAGGGGGCCTGCCATGCCCTGGAAGACTATGCGGAAAGGCTACAGAAAGCAGGCCCTGGCTTGCAAACACACTGCTTCCGTGCAGCACTGGAGACAGTCATCCGACATGTCTGCCCTGAACTTCGGAGGCCTGGCGTGCAAGGAATCCCCAGGGTCCATGAACTCAAGATTGAAGAGTGAGGTCTGGGGAGGCTCCCCACCTATCCCTACTTGTTAGCATAGCCAAAGAAAATGTTTGAGCCCAGAAGAATGGCCTGAACTCTCCTAACCAGGGACAGTGCTCCAAATTTCTCTGAAAGTTGTTGTCCTCTTAAGACTAGGGGCGTTAACTCAGTTGGTAGCCTAGATTCAATTCCCAGCACTGCATAAATCGAGGGTAATGACATACACCTATAACCCTAGCACTGGGGAGATAGCAGAAGCATCATTTCAAGGATGTTCCAAATTTCCTCTGCAAACAGCCTTGGCTGTCCTGAAAACTAGCCCTGTAAACCAGGCTGGCCTCAAACGCAGAGATTTGCCTGCTTCTGCCTCCCAACTGCTGGAATTAAAGGTGTGTGTCACCACTCAATGCCTGTTGCCCAAGCTCCTCCTTTAACCTCTGGAAATCAAATCCCAGGGTTTTGAACATGCTAGGTAAGCAAGTACTTCTATTGATAAGCTAACTACTACATCAGAAACTACAATAGTTTCTGATTACTAGAAGTATGGCTATAAGAGAATGAAAATAAATTTTGGGGCTGTTTGCTATTGAACAGATAGCTCATAGCCTGAGAAGCATTATTAAAGTAGGTACTGGCATATGTCTGTGGCCACAGCACTGTGACTCTGGAGTCAGGGACTGCTTCCATTTTTATTTTGAGGGCAGTCTAGAATACATAGTGAAGACTTTGTCCCCCAAACACAAAACAGGCAGGCATAGTGTTTAATGCCTTTATTAATCTTAACACTTGGAAAGCAGAGGCAGATGGATTTCTTAAATTCAGGGCTAGCCTAATTTGCAGAGTTAGTTCTAGGACAGCCAGGACTATACAGAGAAGCCCTGTCTGGAAAAACCAAAAATAGAAAAAAATAAAATGCCTATTTAAGCAAATCAGAGTAGGAATCAGCTGAGACAAGTTTAACTGGGCGGTGGAGGTTTCTACAACTAATTGCCTTATGGCTGGTCCCACAGATATGTGCAACAAGGGTTACAACGAATAGGTCTGGACCCCCAGCTGCCACTGGATCTGGCTGCCCTTCGGGCCCAGCAGGCCCAAGAGAATCGTGTGGTGGCCTTCTTTAGCTTGGCCCTCCTGCTGGCCCCACTGGTGGAGACACTGATTCTGCTAGACCGGCTGCTCTATCTCCAGGAACAAGGTGAGTCCTTGGTCAGTTGCAGGGCTTGGACACACCTGACGTGTGGGGCATTTGTTAACAAATGTAGATTCCAACAGCACCTTCCCCCAGACTGGTTTTGGTTTTAAAATTTATGTGTGCACACATGCTTTTTGGGTGTTCAATCCCTTGGTACTAGAGTTGCAAACAGTTGTAAGCCATCTAATGTGGGTATTAGGAATCAAATGAGCATACTGGAAGAGCAGCAAGTGTTCTTAAGCGCTGAACCCTGTTCACCTCTAGTGATGTGGGTTTGTCTCTGGCATTGAGAAAGCACAAGGGCTATCAGGCTAGTGTCTTCCCTCTTGGGGATAAGGAGCTGTGCTACTGGATGGGTAAAAAGAGCCTGGGTTGGACTTCAGTCTCCCGTCTAATTAACCCTCCCTTTTTCTCCTTAGGCTTCTATGCTGAGCTCTTGCCCATCTTCAGCCCTGAACTCTCTCCCAGAAATCTAGTTCTGGTGGCCACCAAGACACCCCTGGGTCAGGCCTTCTCTGTTCTTGAGACTGAAGACACCTAGTTGACAGTTCAAAACCACAATGCCAATATGGCTAGTACATCTTACCATCTGGAGTGCCTGCATCTTACCTAAATTCTGGCTCTCTGCAAACTGCAGATTTATACCCTTTCTCTCCCTTCATATGTCATATACTGTGTAATTTGTATTTATTAAAACTTTTAAGATTCAACTCCTATGCTCCTATGTCTGTAAATAGGGAAAGGGGCAAGGGCCTGCCTATCGGAAAGCTACCAATCCTGACAAGAAGAAAAGCTGTACTGCACCTGGGCTCCTCAAAATCCAAACACTTGGGGTAGGAAGAAGCCTGGGACACAGCAGCTGCATTCAAGGCTCTTTATTGATGCTGGATGAAGTGGAGCCTACCCCCACCCTCAAGGCAGAAGCAGCACTGTTAGGCTCAATACCAATAAATCTTCTTGTATCTTCGAGTCTCCTGGATCCCCATTGCCTCCATCACCTCTTCTTCTAATGTCTTTAGCCGGGGCACGTAGGTTTTTTCTAGAGCATCTTCCACTGATGTGTCCTTAGGGCCATCTGTTGAGTCAAAAGAAAGGAAATGATGTTTGCCAACTGTTTTTCTTTCAGTGTTGGGGATGGAACCCATGACCTTGCACAATGGTAGTCAAGTGCTCTCTCTACCACCAAGCTACATTCCTAACCCCACCAACTTTCCTTTTCCTCTTATACCTCACATCCCTGCCTTCTTCCTGCTCATCCCCAGCTTACCAGTCCATGTTTCAGGGACAATGCCATCTGCTCTAGGAAATTCAGGTTTGGGGATAATTCTCCCAGATCTTGTAGAGACTCGAACCCGCTCTCCTGCTTCAGTAAATCTCCACTGGATTTCAGTGGGTTTCCTGGAAAAAATTAGTCTAACTTACAGCCAGATCCCTGTACATTGAAGACAATGGAAAACACCTGGGTTACCACCTTTGTTTCTGTCAGGGTTACTGACAGAATTGTGTGCAAGAAACAGACCCTACTAGGCAGTGGTGGCACACCCCTTTAATCTCAGCAGTCAGGAGGTAGAGGCAGGCAGATCTCTTAGTTCCAGGCCAGCTGGTCTATAGAGTGCCAGGACAGCCAGGACAACACCCCTCCCCGCATCCATTCCCTAGAAAAGGAAACAGCCCCCCACCCCAATCCTAGCATATCCAACACACCATCCTCATGTGACAAATGGGTCTGCCCAACACCTGTGTGGACTCGAGTTAGAAGCCCCCTTCACCAGAGGCCCCTGTGTTTACCTGTCCACAGGGTCCACTAGCTTGACCTGATGATGAAGTAACGGGGCTTCACTAGGGATCATGGTCCCTCGGTGATCCTTGGTTCTCCCAACATAGCGGAAATGCTGTCCAAGAGAAGGCAATATTAGAAAGCAGTGTGTGAAGGGGATTTACCTACTACTGTTTAGCGTACTCAGCCCAAGCCCGGTGGTTCAACCTGCCCCTTAGCCAGTTCCTGTCTCTCCATGCTGCTCTTAAGGAAAGAGGGACAAATGGGGAAGATTTCTCAATTCGCCATCATCCTTCCCACTCACCGTGTTCAACCCCTCCAAGACAACCCAGTTCCGCTGCCGAATGACTTGGACCACTTTGCCCTGCTTGCCAGCATCCTTGCCTTCCAAGATTTCCACCTGAAGGAAGATGAGAGGACAAGGGCAGGGAATTGTTGCCGCAAGCCTTCCTGTCTCTCGGTGTTGAGGCTCTCACCATGTCTCCGCAGAATAGGTGCCAGTCTTCATCAGAGATGGGCTCTACCACCACTGGGCGCCGCCTGCTCCATGGAGGATTCTTCCTCTTGTCTGATAGGGAGCCTGGACGGCTCATTCCATAGCGGTAGTGGGGAGGGAGAGTGGCTTTGGATGCCAAGGCCAGCAGGGCCGAAAGGCGCATGTTAGATGTGGGAAGTCTCACCAGTGAAAGATTCAAAAACTCTTGTCAGCTATGAGTCAAGAGAAACAATGAGGATTTGAAGTAAGGAAGGCACTTTTGTTTTTTATTTATTTTTGTTTTATGTGCATTGATGTTTTGCCTGCGTGTATATCTGTGAGGATGTTGGGTCCCCTGGAACTGGAGTTACAGAGAGTTGTGAGCTCCCATGTGGGTGCTGGGAATTCAACCCAGGTCCCTTGGAAGAGCAGTCAGAGCTCTTAACTACTGAGTCATCTTTCCAGCGCCTTGTTTGTTTTTTGAGATGGTCTTGCTATGTAGATCTGCCTGACCTAGAACTCTCTATGTATTCCAACCAGGCTGGCCTTGTACTCTCAGATCCATCTGCTTCTGTCTCCTTCGCCTAGAGCCAGGACTAAAGGCGTGTATCACCATACACAACCCAAGGAATGTTATCAAAGTAACAACTCTTGTGCAGTGAACTTCATATCATTGACTCTTCTCACAAGTTATATTTACAAATGAGAAAACAATGAGGTTATGTATTATCCATGATGATATATCTTGACTTCAAAGTAAAAAATTCACTGAAGTTGTTAGGTAGTGGTGGTGCACGCCTTTAATCCCAGCACTCGGAAGGCAGAGGCAGGTGGATCCCTGTGTTCCAAGCCAGCCTGGTCTACAGAGCAAGTTCCAGAACAGCCAGAGCAACACAAAGAAACTTTCTGGAGGTGGGAGGGAGGCACAATTCACTGAGGTCAAGGGCCACTCTATCTAGTTCCTTGAATTGCTACCTCAAGAGAGCTTGGCACTTAAGATACTTAAGACAGTTATTAAACGAGTACATGAACAGCAGGGCAGGAGGAAATAGCCCCTAAGTATCAGGCCCCAGTTGACTCCATGATGGAAATATTCAGGCCATAAAACTCAGCACATAGCACCACCAACCAAAACAAAAACAAAGACCTAACCCATCAAAGTCCATAGTTCTGGGAAAGTCTCTAAATTTACTAACCTTGCTTTTTTGTTTTATAGTTCTGCTTCTGGCTAACTGTTCTTGTTAACTGAAGTATGTCAACCAGGATGTTTTTGTGTTTAAAAATTCACCTTGAGGCCGGGTGGTGGTAGCACACGCCTTTGATCCCAGCACTCAGGAGGAAGAGGCAGGCGGATCTCTTGTGAGTTTGAGGCCAGCCTGGTCTACAAGAGCTAGTTCCAGGACAGCTTCCAAAGCCACAGAGAAACCCTATCTGGGGGAAGCTCGCCTTGAGAAACGCCTGGGGCTACACTAGGATCCCACACACTCAATGTAGTCACCAGCCAGCTAGTGGCTTGAACCTGTGTCCAAGCAGTCTTCTCTGGTGGTTGCCCCAATAACGCCTATCCAACTTCTACCCTCACACAGGAAAGACCCACTCCTCCCTACGGACAGCTTTTTCTATAAGACTTAAGCACCCCCAAGGCTACACTCTAAGGTTGTTGACACCTAAGTTTTCTATCTAAGTATATGCTAACAGACTCCTAATTTGGGAGGTGGACTAAATTAACAGATTCCTGAAATAATTGGTAAAAAGTGCTCTAAGCCAGGCCTTTGAGCTCCTTAGGTGGCGAAGGTGGAAGGATCATAAGCTCAATACCCGCTTGAACAATTTTGTGAGACCCTATCTTAAAAATTAAAAAAGGGGGCCTGGCATTTAAGAGCACTTGTTCCTTTTCCAGAGAACCTGCATTTAATTCCCAGTACCCACATGGTGTTTCACAACCATCTGTAACTCCTACTTCAGGGGATACAATGCCCTTTTCTGGCCTCTACAGGCATCAGGCATGCAAGTAATGCATATACACATATGTAGGCAAAGCAAACATTTAAAAAATTAATAAATCCAATTTTTTAAAATGACAAAACAAGCCAGATGTGTTCCAATCAGCTTTCCCGCCAGCGTGGTCCCACAGCCTCGTCAACCCCAAATAACACACAGAGACGCTGTATTAGATATAAAGCTGTTGGCCTGTTACTAGCATTTCTTATTGGCTAGCTCTGTCTTAAATATTAACCCATTTTTATTAATCTAAGTGTTTCCATGTGGTCTTGGCTTACTGGAGAGAAGGTTCAGAACTCTTCCCTCAAGTCTCTACATCTTGAATCTCTCCTCCTATATCTCCCAGAATCCTCCTTGTCTCCTAGTCCCACCTATCTTGCTTTCCTATTGGCCAACAGGGCTTTATTTCCTATTGGCCAACAGGGCTTTATTAATTAATCAATAAGAGAAACCCAGTCACAGAATGACATCTCCCAACACAGATGTGGTAGTGCACACCTATAATACCAATGCTTGGTAAGAAAGAACAAAAAGACCCTAAGTTTGAGGCCTGGCTGAGCTACACACACAAAAAAAAAAAAAACCCTTGACTTTAAATATTTTTTAAAGATTTATTTTATGTATATGAGTGCTATATTTGCATGTACCCCCTTATTCCAGAAGAGGGCATCAGATCCCACTGTAGATGGTTATAAGCCACTATGTGGTTGCTGGGAATTAACTTATGCTGAGATATCTCTCCAGGCCCCAACTTTTAAATATTTCTTTAAATAGGGGAGAGGAAGAAAAGCTCTACAGTTAAGAGCACTTGATGGTCTTGTAGAGAACCATTGATAACACCAATTCCATACCCTATTTGGACCTTATGGTTGACAGAAACATACATGGTGTACCCACAAACACTCCTACACATTTAAAAACAAACAAAAAACCCTTAAAAATATCAGTGATAAGTGCAGTAGGACATACATACCTTTTATCCCAGCACTTGGATGGCAGATTCAACAAACAAAATAAAATGCTAAGTGTGATGACTCATGCCTTGGGAGTCAGAAGCATAATGATTACTATGAGTTCAAGGGCAGCCTGCCCTACACAGTAACCTATAGACTAGTCTGGGCTACAAGGTGAGACCTATTTAATCTAAACAACAAAGTAAAAAGGCTCAATGTAGAATGTTATACTAGATGCAGCAAGCTTTCTAAATAGCTGCTGCTAGCCTGGTACCATGCTAAGCAGCATCTCACAGAAGCCTAAGAGCAGCGACGAAATTGCTCCTAATCTCGTCTTTGGGTGGGTGGGTATGTGCATGTGTGTTTTTTCCAAAAAATGTTTAAGGCCTGAGGCTCTGGGAGAAGAATGCAGGCCGGGACACACCTCCTCCATCTTTCCCTGCGGTTCCCTGCACAACTGGATAATAGTAGCGCCACTTCCGCAGCGGGGCTTTCGTCTCAATACAAGCCCACAGGTCGCACGGCCTCAAGCACTTCCCCTGTCAGACTCACCCAGACCGAGGATAGCCCCGGTAAAGAGAAACCCAAGGAGGAAGACTGCGCCCCAGTTTACGACTAGGAAAAGAAAGTTACTTCGCGCATTCGCCTTCCAACGACCATGACCATTGGCGTGGAGCGGCCTTACCTTTCCCAACCTTTCTTTGCACGTGAGTGCTCATCTCTGGTAGTCTCCGCCACCGCACTTCTGGGAGATGTAGTCTAATTGCAGAGCGACGCTCAATAATGAAGAGTGCCTCTTAGCTTGCTGGGAACTGTAGTCCGTCGCTATAAAATGACCTGAAACAGGAAACTTGGCCAAAAGTAGGAAATCCCGAGTGTGAGAGGCATGTCGGGAATTGGAGGCGAAAGATTCGCAGGGTACTTTCCTTTAAATGCTCTGCGTGGAGGCCACTGGGAGTTGTAGTTCACAGAGAACATGGCTCCATTTTCTAGGTGGTTATAGTTTCCTATTCAAAGCAAAGGAATCCATTTCTAGCTGAGATTACAGCCATTATGTCCTGGCTCTTCTCTGTTTGAGGGACCAGGTCAGATTAAAAAACCGCCCCACATAATACTAGATGAGCTAATCATTCTATATAAAGTGGAGCATGCTGGGAGGTTTCCATCGTGCCCAACTCATTCCACCTGCCCTCCCACCATCAATGGACTGACAGGCATCCCTAACAAAGCCTAGCACTGAGACCAGATATCCTTGATCAACCCGTTCTTTGACCACTCACTCACCTGTTGGCCTTGATCAGATCAAGTATGCTTTCTTTCATTACTATGCGTCTGGTAGTGACTGAGAACACTTTGGATCGGCTCTTCCCTGTAAGCTGTCCAGTCTGTAATGTCAGGAACTTCGTTAGTGGAATGACCTTTATTCTTAGGATGTATGTAACTAGGAAAGTATTTCTGAAGCCATCAGCACCAGATGTTTTCCATTAACCTCAAATCTCCACCTCTGCGAAAGCACCCACTACTGTTTGAACATTCTAGGCGTTGAGACTTTCAAAGTACCGCCTAACCTATCCCCAAACCAGCCTCCCAGCAAGAAGGAATTGGAGTTCATCTTCTCAACTGTTGTTTTCCAGCATAGTGTCTCTCGTAGCCCAAACTCACCTCAAACTTGCTAGTTTCTGGCCTCCACTTCCCAGGTGCTGGGCTTCAGCATCAAGCCTGGTTTATGTTGTGCTCCAGGGCTTACAGCTTGCTGTTTCTTTGTTTTGTTTTTTTTAAGAGGAGTTTTGTGTGTGTGTGTGTGTGTGTGTGTGTGTGTGTGTGTGTGTGTGTGTGTGTATAGCTTTGTGGACCAGACTGGCCTGGAACTCAAAGAGATCCACCTGCCTCTGCCTCCCAAGTGCTGGGATTAAAAAGGTGTGCACCACCACCTCGGGCCATGCTCTGTGCCTTAACAGCTACATCCCTTACACCCCCCCCCACCAGGGTACTGTCTTCTAAAAACTTTTTTTTATTATTTTTCATGAGTATGTCCCTTAATAACAGCTCCCCCCACCCACCCCGGCCCGGAGACAGGGTTTGTCTGTGTAGCTCTGTCCTGGAACTTACTTTGTAGACCCAGGCTGGTTTTGAATTCAGAGATCCACCAGGCGTTCACCACCACAACCTGGCATGCCTCCATAATTTTAGTGTGCTGGTTGTGTCTGTGCAGACCAGACAGCAAAGGTATCAGGTGCCCTGAAACTGGAGTTAGGTAGTTGTGAGCTGCCTGATGTGAGTGCTGGAGTCCAAACCAGGATCCTCTGCAACTGCCAAGCCATCTGTAGCCCTTCAAGTGAACTTTGCAACTAAGTCTAAATTCTTGCCTATGAGCCTTGTCTTATTTACTGAGACAGTCTCACTATGTAGCCCTGGCTAATCTAGAACTATGTAGACCAGGCTGGCCTTAAGCTCAGAGATCCCTACATGTCCTCTAATGCTGGGGTTAAAGGTGTGCACCACTATGCCTGACTAAAACAGACATGTGGCTAGCAACCTAACTAGCATTAAGTGGTTAATTAATTGTCCCTAAATTTAGACTTGTTCTTGCAGGTTCAAGATTTTTCTAGAACCAGACCACGTCTTCCCAGCACTTTTGGAGACTAAGGCAAAAGGGTCATGAGTTTGAGACCAACAAACAGGGAGACCCTATTTCAAAAACAAAAACCAAGGATGGCTACATAGACTTGGAATCTCAGCACTTCAAAGACCCACTTAAGGTCATTGTCAGGTATAATCCTGGGTTACACGAGACTGTCCCAGACTTTCCATGACCATGTATGGAACCTCTGGTCTCATGTATACCCCAGGCTGGTCTAGAGCTTGCTGCATATCTGCAGATAACTTTAAAACAAATTTTACATATTTTTTTTTGTGTGGGGGGTTGCTTTTCGAGACAGGATCTCTGTGTAACAGCTCTGGCTGTCCTGGAACTCACTCTGTAGACCAGGCTGGTCTTGAACTCACAGAGATCTGTCTGCCTCTGCCTCCCAACTGTGTTGGGATTAAAGGTGTGGGCCACCAGACTTAAAGTGATTAAGTTTATTGGTCTGCTCTGATACCTGTACCTGTGTTTTTAGCAGAATCACTCTAGGGGTAGATATTAGAATGAATAGCTGCTTTTTAGAAGTACTTTGACCTTGAAGAATCCTTGTTTTTCTGAAGAGGGGCTTTGCAGCCATCCCATGACTTTGGTCACAAGATGCCTCAGGCACACCCGAGGCTCTTGCATTATTGTGTATTGCAAATGATACATAATAAAGGACTATCATGGGTGCATGTGACCCTCTTCTTCAGTAAGACATGCAAATTAGATTATGGACCTTGGTAAGATGAAATATTTTTGGAGTTCAATCATTCAGAAGAGGCTAGACCTTTCTGTTGCCACATAGGCCTGAAAATTTCATCTTGGGAGTGCCTCTTCATCAGACAGCTTAGTGGGTAATGGCATCTGCCTGCCTGAGATGATTACCTGGACCCCACATGGTGAAAGAGAAACTGATTCCTGCAAACTGTCTTTGGCCTTTATAAAAACATACAAAGTAAAATGTAATAAAAGTTTATGTGTATTTTGCCTCCATGTATTATATGCACATGTGTGCCTGTTACCCAGGTAGGTTAGAAAAAGATGTTGGATCCCTTGGAACTGAAGTCATAGATGGTTCTGGGCCAGTGTAGGTAGGTGCTGGCAACAGAATGCAGGTCCTCTGCAATAAAGTGCTCTTTAACTGTTAATCCAACTCTCCAATCATCATATAGTGTGGGTTTGTGTTCTTTTCTTACAAATTGTCTTTTAAAGACTTATTTAGTGGAATTAGGGATTTAACTCAGCAAAAGCCCTGGTTTCTTCAGTCCTCAGCTCTGAAAAAATAATCTTCGTCTGCATGAGTACAGGCCCCTAGGGTGGTCAGAGGACTTGTAGAAAATCAGTTCTCTGCTTCCACATTGCTATGGCAGGTGACAGATGACAGGTGAGTCTCCTGTGTCTACAGGCGGACACCCACCCAGCCGATCCTCCTGCCTCCATCTCCTGGTGATTATACGCACCTATCCATTACACCTACTTTTTTTTTGCCACGCTTTGGGACCAAATTCAGGACTTCTGATTTGTACATACTAGGCAATTATTCTAGCATCTGAGGTGTGTTAGGTTAGGGTTTCTTATGCAAGTTTTTTTTCTGTGTGTACACAGGGGTGTGTGTGGGGGGGATGCCGGGGTGTTGAGACACGGTCTTTTTGTACAACCCAGGCTGGTATTGAACTTGTGATCCTCCTGCCTTTCCTCTGCTGAGAATACAGATTTATGCTACCACACCTGGCTCAAAAATGTTAGACCAGTTATTGAAAAGGCTCAACAAGCAGTTGCTGCTCTTGCAGAGCACTTGGGTTTTGTTGCCAGAACCTATAACCATTCTTAACTCCAGTTCCAGAGGACCCAATGGCCTCTTGCAACTTCCTCAGGTACCAGGCTTTGCATGTGGTGCATGTATATAAATGTGGACAAAACACTCATAAATAAAATATACCTAAAAATTAAATAAAAATGTTTTAGACCTTCCCAAATGCTTGCAAGAGTAGAATAGATAGTGTGGGAATGGAGGCTGTGGTCCCTCCCTTCATCCGAGGAAGAGACCTAGAGGTCACTTGATTCCCTTTCCCTCTCTTCAGTTAACCCAGACACTCAAAAGAATTAGTCAGAATCCAGGATAGTAATCAACGGCTTTATTTTCCTAGAACTCAAATTGTCTATGGTTCTCAGAGCTACACTTCCAAAGCTACAGTCAGCAATTTTTCTTCAGAGCCCAAGGGAGGGATAGGAGTAAAAGAGAAGGAAGGGGGCAAAGAAACCCCAGAAGAGGCTGGGAGAGAGTACGTTTCCCTGTATTCAGTGGGCTACAAACTGGATGTGTGACAACGCCAGAGGACCAACTCTGGAAGGACATCAAAGCCCTAGCTCCAAAGAGTCATCACTTGAACAGAAGGGAGCCTCCCAGTGCACCTCGGAAACAGGTCAGTAGTGGGGGGCACACAAAGGCTTGGGGATTAACAGGTTGGTTTTTTTTTTTCTTTTTTTTTTGTAATTTTCTTTTATTAAAAACATTTCCTAAAAAAATGTGTCTTTTTCCTTTATGTCTGGGTGATATATCTGACTGGAGGCTGGCCTTGAGCATTGTGGGAAGAGGAAAGAAGGCAGCAGGGTCTCCCCACATTACCTCATCTCTGACCTGAGATCTAAAGAGAGACATTTACTCAATACAAACAGATAAGTCAATCCTTCAGATTATCCACTCTCTCCAGGTCCTTGGCCCTACCAACTTGGAAACTCCAAAAGTCTTAATGTTAAACTATAATTCCTTGAACCCTGAGGTCAGGAAAAAAATTTTCTCAAAATCACCAAGGATTTATGGATGGGAGCCTCTCTCCCACATAGTGTCTGTCCCCTTTTTCTTGAATTTAGGCAGATGGGAAAATATGGATGGGAGCAGGAGACAGACTCAGGAGATGCCACCCAGAAACCCACACCTAATTGTATATTTCATCATCCCACTCCTGCCCCAACCCAGCCCAAAGGTCTAGAATGCCTGCAGAAGGGCAGAGGTGTCAAGAGGTGGAAACAGGAGCCCAGACCCCAACACAAGCCCTAGGAGACAAGTCTAAGGAGATATAATGGCCCCAATCATCCCAGGGCACATTGCCCTGACTCAGGTCACAGGGTACAGGGACCTGGAGGTGAGGGCCAAGCCAATCTCCAAGGGTGGGCTTAAAAAGAAGAATGTGAGTGAAGGAGGAGAGTGGGTTGGGTGGGAAAAGGGTTCCCAGTTTGCAGGCCATGGCCAGTTTCCCCAGTAGCACCCAGACAGCAGCAGGAACGGGGCAGGGGCTCCTCTTGAAACATTGGTGGCTACAGGCTGCAGGGGAGGGTTGGAGGGAGAAGGGTTAATGGTGTGGCCTTGGCCTGGCCTGACCCCAGCCAGTGCAGGTCTTCAGGGAGAGCCCACCCAGCCTCCAGAAAGGCTGACTACTTCTGCAGGCCGGCCCTTGTCTGCATCCGCCTCCTCTCCAGAAGTGGCTGAGCCCTCCCAGCCCACTGCCAAGGGGCTCACTCACCTCTCATGATCTCTGACGCCCTCGGCTTCAGCCCCTTCCTTGGAAGCCTCCTCCTCTTCTTCCTCCTCCTCCTCCTCTGGAGGAGGTCCCTGGCCAGAGTCTGGCTCAGAAGGAGTACTGTTCTTCTCCATCTCTACTGGTAGGGGCCTCTCACCCTCCAAGGTAGCCATCTCCTTATCCTCTTCTTCATGGTCTCCCGACTCCTTGGGGCGTTTAGGGGAGTCCTAGGCAGATTATCAGAGGGCATCAACTGAGGCTAGAGACAGGAGGTCAATAGCTAACCTCCTTGTGTCTATACTCTTCCTCGGGGTCTCTTTCCAGGGTGATTCTCACTGCCCAGCTACCCTCTGCCACCCCAGAAGGCCTGTGCCCCACTCTCATTTGGATTCCCAGAAACTAGGGACCGGATGTATACCTCAGACCCAGGGCCCCAAGAGAGAGCCCACAGAAAATGTCGCATGGTACATCCTGGCAGTTACCTCCAACATGTCCCCTGCTCTCCTCTTCAGCATCCCCTTCTCACTCTTGTCCTTGGTTGGCTCATCGATGACCAGTTTCCCTTCCTCATCACTGCTACCCTCTGCATTGCCTTTCTTATCACCATCACCCTCAGGGACTTGACGCTCCAACTCAGGCTCTTCCACACAACTCTTTTTCTGAGAGGACTGTGGTGGAGACGTCAGAGGCTGAGTGGCACCAGAGATTAGTCCCTCCCCAACCACCCCCTTAGACACTCACTCCTTCTTTTGCCCACCTCTCCCCCACCCCCACCCAGGTGCCCAGTCTCACAAGTGATTTGAGACCCACCTCTGTTGGATTAGCCCTGGGGTTAACCCACAGGCCGGGCAGGCAGGGCTCTGTGCAGGAGGGGGGAGGGCTGGAGCAGGAGGCAAAACCTCGGGTCAACTTCTCCCAAAGGGATCTGGGACCCATTCCCCACAACCCCCGCTCCCCCCGCCCTCCCGCCTTGTCCTGCCCGGCTCACAAGAACCTCCTTTTGGAAGGCTATGTCCTCTTAATGATGGGCCCAACAAAGGCTTACCCCACTTACCGCCTCCATCCTATTCTTGCCCTCAAAGTCACTGACTAGAAGTCACCCCACACCCCCTAGGTCCCTCTTGCAAGAAGTTCCATCTCTACCACCCCAAAGACTCAGAGATTCTGAAGGCTAAGCATTGCCTGTGGCCAAGGCTCCTGGAGCCTGCAATATACCTGGCTTTCTAGGGCTTTGAGGGGGCAACTAACTGCTTACCTGGTAGCCAGAGGCCTTGACTGTAGGGTTGTTCTCGATCTCCCATAGCCCCTCGCTGAACCCTTTCCTCTTGTTGGGCTTGCCAAACTTCTCCTTGGATTCCTCGTAAGGGAAGAGGTCTTTGGGGCCCAGGAATGCCCTGATGAGAGATGGGAGACTGTGCTCTCAAGCCCCAAGCTGCCCCCCAAGGTAAACACCAAACACGGACAGATAGTGTTACCCCGCTTTCCCCACAATGGGGGTCCCAGTGTCCCACCCGCACCCCGCAAGCCCTTCACTCACGTCTCGTGGGTTCCAAAAAAAAAGACTTGATATTTATTGGCTGTTGATTTCACTGCAGCCTCAGGCATCTCATCAATCTGAGGCAAGAAAGGAGAGAAAATATGAGCTTGAGTCCCAAGGCCACCATTCTGGGGCAAGGTGACATTTGCAATAAACCCAGGCAGAACAAGACTCAAGAGATTACCCAATTTGCAAAACATTCTTAGCAGTACAACTGGTTCAAATTAAATTATAGACAGGAAGGCCTGACAAACCCAGGACTACTTCCCTCCCCTTCACCGGAGAAGGTCTTCTCCAGTGTCCAATCCTGACTAAAGTGCTATCACCTCTGCCACTCCCAGACCAATACTGTCACTTCTTTGTATCTTGAGACTGGGCTGCAAAGCAAGGCACTGTCTGTCCAACTCCAGATCCTCCTGCCTCAGCCTCTTAATGTGCCAACATACTCATCTCTGATAACAAAATGTCAAAGCATCAACTCTGCCCATGCTTTCTGTCACGATCATGGCCTGCTTCTTCAATGTGACAGTCAGAACCCCCCCCAAACACACACACATACACACAGGGTTTCTCACTGTAGCTCTGCCTGTCCTGGAACTCACTCGGCAGACCAGGCTGCCCTTGAAATGGCAGCTAAAATAAGTCTGAAAAATTTGAAAGCCACTACAATAAGTCATTTTTTTTTTTTACAGACGGGGAGACCGAGTCCAGAAAACATGGCACAATATAAAAAGGGCCAGATTTCAAGTCTAATCTTCCTTTTTTGTTGTTTTTTTTTTTTTTCCCTCTGAGACAGTGTTTGTGTAGCCTTGGCCTTGAACTCAGAGATCTGACTGCCTCTGCCTCCAGAGTGCTGGAATTAAAGGTCAGCACCACCACCATCCAGCTCTAACTTTCTTAAATAAATAAATAAATAAATTTTAAAGTTTATGTAACAACATTCTCTGAATGTTATTTCTGTGTACTTCAGGAATGCTTGAGGAAGCCAGAAGAGGATGTCAGACACCCTGGGGCTGGAATACAGCCATGTAAATGCTGGGAATAGAATACAGGGTCCTATGGAACAGAGGCCAGCACTCTTAACCACTGAGAGAGACATCTTTTCAATATAGACCCAATTTCTTGAGGCGACCCCTTGCCCTATGAGCCAGTAGGAATTCTGCAGTAAAGGCTGAGGTCTAAGGTCAAGTTCGAAATAAATGGAGAACAGCTAGCCAGCCAAACTCGGATTAAGTCCGGGAAGTCCAGGCCAGGCAAGCTGTTAGAGCACGGACTACAACTCCCAGCAATCCTTGCAACAGCCCGAGCCGCCCGCCTCCTCCCGTAGGCCAGGTGGCCATGTTGACTGGGGTTTCAGACCCAAACCTAAGACACAGACCAAGCAGTGGTTAGAGGAAGAGGGTGCAACTGGGAGCACTGGGGAGACAGGGAGGCTGAATGACTAGAATGAGCCCAGTGAGCATGACTCGGAAGGGTAATCTTGCCCCAGATTTGGAAGTCTTCAGGCTTCTGGGCCCCTCCCCCTCGCCCCGTGGCCTCTGAGGACTTTGGTCCAGCCCCTCCCCCTAGGAAGGCACAACTCAAACTAGGCCCAGCCCAACAATCAGGAGATGCTGGGGTGTGGGAACCCGGTAGAAAGGCACGCAGTTCCCCCACAACCGTGATCCCCATCACTATGACAACTCAGCCCCGCCCCCCGGGGCCACTCAGCAACCAGGAATGTGACCACCCCTCCCCCAAGGCCTTCCATCCAGGATTGTGGAGGAAGGGACACTAAACACACACCCCGCCTCCCAGCCTGTAATCAGGCACGCAGCTCTAGGGCTGAACGTGAAACCAAGCTAGGTCTGGAAAGCAAGGGGTGGGGGATGCTCTAAGGGGTGGGGACGGGAAGACCTGGACAGGATACCTGGCCCCCACCATCTTCTCAGAGGTGTTAGCAAAAAAAAAAAAAAAAAAAAAAAAGATGAAGAGGGCCTCCAGGGTTTAAGAAATCCCAGGAGACAGGCAACGGATGACGATAGCAAAGGCTCTCTCATAGGCCTGACACCTATGCCCGGAAAGGGGGGAGGGGGCCCAAGCTGGAGTGCTGGAGGAGTGCCCACACCCAAGCTTTCAGTCTGGTAACACGTGTAATGAAAGGGAAGAGAGGAGACTCCAAAAGAAAGGGGTGCAGGAGCACATACTGAGACAACTGGCCACCCAGCTTCCCATGGAGAGCAAACTACAGGCAGAGTCCAACTCGTGTGGCAGGGGACCCAGGAGGCCTCTAGCTGCCCAGTCCCAGAAACCAGACTGGATGGAATGAAACATAACAACTCCATCAGTCTTGCCAACTTCCTGCTACATAAAGGTTGGGTGTGGAGGAATGAGAGGCCCATTCCCCAACAACCCTAACCATTTTATGTAGGTGCAGCAGGCAGGTTGGGGGATGGAGTGCTTTCTGCTCAACAGCACCTCCCCCAACAAAAGAGGAGAAATCACTTCTGTGGCAGCGCCCCCAACCCCTGCAGCTATAAAGGAACTTTCTTTCCTGGAACTTGGATGTGATGGGTGGTTCTTCCACGGTGAGTAAGGTAAACTAAGTCTCAAAGAAATCTGTCCTGAAACTGTCTCCTAGGTGGTGTCTTTATAGCCACACTGACTAAACTTAGTGAGTTAAAGGACAGTTGAGTCATGGTGGGACCAAACTCTATAAACTTCAACTGGAAGGCAATTCTGAAACTTCCTAACCATCCTGGCCCACTCCTCTGCATTTGCCTGCCTCCATCAGACAGGTCCTAAACACCAGAAATCCCATCCTGCCCAGGCCAGAGGCCTTCGAAGCCATTTGAGCCTTTAGAGGAGCAGGAGAACTGAACACCATGCCCACAGCACTCAAGAGCCCAAGCAAGGCATTTAGGAAATCTAAGAGCATACTAGTTGACCACCACACCCAAGGCCTGGCTGACTTAACCTAGGGGAACCAGAATGCCCAGGACAGCAGGAACCTCAGACAAATGGGCTGGGAAGTTAAGTGTGGCAAAGCCAAAGGAAAAAAGAAGGGAGAAGTTCAGGAACTTCTCCAGGATTGAGAGAGGAAACCCCCCTCTCCCCCAGGTCCTCCAGGAAGTTAGGCAGAAGGTAAAAGATGGGGTCATAACACATTCTTCAGTCAGGTCCTGCTACCATGTGGGCCTGTGCCTTCAATCTCAAACTCTGGGCCCTTTTTGAGTCTTTCCCCAGTCACCAAGTCCCTCAGAAGCAGCAATGAGGTAAGCAAGGTACAAGTGGTGGCCTGCACCATGGCTTAGGACTCCGGTTACACCCTGGAGCAGTCAGCCATCAGGCTTCAGGCTTCCTCCCCCTCCAATTCAGGAAGAGCTAACACAGGTTCCAAAGAGTTGGGGGTGGGGCGACAACGACTCAGTTTTGTCTTTTTGGGAGCCATGGGGAATGCCTGAAAGGTGATAGCCCTGGGTGTAGCCCTCCCCTTTAAGTGACAGGACGCCCATATCTATCTTTGAGACCTATTCACAATTGTTATCTCAAAGGTCCAGGCCTCCATAGAGGAAGAAATTGCCTCTGCCCTACTCTGCTGTCCTGGAAGCTCATAGTGAAATGGAACTGATGGTACCCCTGCTCCAAGGGGTCATCAGAAACCGAGGGGCTTTCTCACAGGGCAATGAGGCCTCAGGGAACAAGGCATAGCAGACAATCCCTAAATCCACATTTCATTGTATTTCTCCTTCCTCAGGCATAGTTTACCAGCAAGGAGGAAGAGACAGGGACCTGGGTTCAGTTCTCACCCTGTCCATCAGTGCTTAGCACCTGAGGCAAGAAGCCAATGGATCAGAGGGTGCAGGGTAAAGTACATTGAGTGTTCACATGGGGCACACACAGCCTAACTTCAGTCAGGCCCTTCTAAGGCTCTGGAAAGTCTCAGTCTCTCTCTCTCTGCATTTCACTCCCAAGCCAGAGGCCAGGCCTTATCCAACCCATTTAAAGTTTCAGAGAGCAAGGAGCTCAAGCAAGTGGGACTGGAAACACTCCTTGGGAGGGGGAGGGAGTCTGGAGGGCCACTTGGGTTTTCTCAATGATCAATTGGCTGTATCCCTTGAATAGGGATGGAGCATGGAGGAACTTCCCAGGCTCAGAGCAGTACTGAGTCAGATGAACAGTCAGCCATACTGGAAAAGCCAAAGCCTCAAGGCAACACTGCTTGGGAGCCCTCCGCCAGGCCTTTTGCCCTAGGATTTCAGTTCACACTAGTCCAACACCCTAAGGGGCTGAGTCACGCTCTCACCCAGTACCAAGGGCCCCTTCTCCACTCACTTTGAAAAGTTGCCAGAAGCACCCACACACTCACTTAACCTTTTCCTTGGAGGAAAGGTGATAAACACATCAGGCTTTCGGCCCCACCCTCCCACCTGGCCAGGTGCTGGAATGGGGAAGGCCCTTCTGTTGGCGGGCAGAAACAACCACATGGCTGATACGGGCCTCTTGGCTCGAGAAGCTCATTGGTGAGAATCGGAGGCAGCTCGGTCTCCCCACAAATACCCCACCTCACCAATGCGTTCAGTACTGGACTTCCCAGGCACACAGGCCCCTGCTCCCTACAGTTCCAAGTCTGAGCTGGTGGCATATGGAGGGATGTTCTCGTAGAACTGAGGGCTAATGGGTTGTGGCAGAGCTACCCAGCCAGGAAGGTCATTTCTTAAGTCTCCCCCAATCACTCCGCGACCCTCCCAACTCCAGACTTCCTACAAAATGCTCTAAGAAAGTTTGCTAGACGCCAGCTCTACCTCCACTTAACCCTCTGTGGACTGGGACACTTCGCAACCGTCTGCCCAGCCAGGGGAATCTGAGCTGGAAGCAACTATCAATGGAGACTCGGAGGCTCAAACGGGGCTCCCCGAAGGGGTTGGGAGTCGAGGCACAAGCAGCGGCACGCCACCGGGCCGCTCCCCGACCGTGCGCCCAAAGCCTCGGCCAGTAGGAGGAAGGCTGCGGGCGGACTGAGCACGCGGCGCCGCCCGCCAGGTGCCGGGCCCCGCCGCCTCTGTTATGTAAGCGGTGGTGGGCTCTCACCAGGGCGAGCAGGCCCGGTGCCCCTGCCCCTCCACCCGCTCTGCGCAAGGCGACCGTGCCCTCCCGAGCGTTATGCAACCACACCAGGGCCCGCGATGGCCCCACTGCTCACCCGAGCCGGCCAGTGTGGGTATCCCTTCATCTTCGCGAACACCAGGTCCCCGCATTTGTACTCCTTCTGCCGGTTGGATCGCGACATGGCGGGGCCGCGGGCGCCCCGGGCTCCGCGCCGAGCCGGGAAGCGCGAGCCCAAGTTTGCGCGTGCGGCGGTTGTGGCGCCGCTGCGCTCCGGCCCTCGCGCGGCCCCCGCCTCGATGGTGGCCCCCGGCGCGAGCTCCGGAGCAGCCACGGCGTCTGCGCCCGCGCGCCGCTCGGACGGGGCGGGCGCGGTGGGCAACGCTCGGCTCGGGGCGCGCTCGTGCGGTTGTTTGTGTTTGAAATTCAATTGCTCCCTCCTCAACGCGAGGCCGCTTCCTCCACCCCCCGCGGCCCACTCCTCCCCTCGCGCTCCCGCCCGCGGCGGTTCGATGCGCTCAGCCCCTCGTCGCCTGCTGCCTGTCCGGGCCTGGCGCCCAACCTGGAAGCGGCAGGCGGAGCGCAGCAGCACAGGCCTGAGCAGTGGAGCGCCGAGCTCGCCGGGCGGGCTTTGTGTGCGGGCGGGTGCTGAGTGCCAGCCGGCGAGGAGCGGGCGCCTGCTGGACCAGCTGCACGTGCCCCTCCCCTGGGCTCCGCGGGGCGCTTCCAGCAGGGGCCAAGCGAGGCCTACTGTGGCCGTGGTGGCGCAGTGTCCCCCTAACCTGTTCCGTGTCCCAAGCCACGCTCTGCGCCTTGTCTTTTAGCTAGTTAGATGGATAAGGCGAGAGGTGTGGAAACCACATAGCGGTGTAGGGTCTATCCTGGGCTTACACGTGCTTCTGTTGGCCGGGTGGGGTGTGTGTGTGTGTGTGTGTGTGTGTGTGTGTGTGTGTGTGTGTGTGTGTGTGTGGTGTAGGGTCCATCCTGGGCTTACACGTGCTTCTGTTGGCCGTGTGTGTGTGTGTGTGTGTGTGTGTGTGTGTGTGTGGTGTAGGGTCCATCCTGGGCTTACACGTGCTTCTGTTGGCCGGGTGGGGTGTGTGTGTGTGTGTGTGTGTGTTCCAAACCTACTAGGTGGGGTGTGTGTTCCAAACCTACTAGGTACTAGGTCAGCTTACCTCTGTGTGTGTGTGTGTTCCAAACCTACTAGGTACTAGGTCAGCCTACGTGTGTGTGTGTGTGTGTGTGTGTGTGTGTGTGTTCCAAACCTACTAGGTCAGCCTACAGAGGAGAGAATCGAAATTGACAGTCCCATGGTGCACAAGAGGTTGGCTATTTTGGGAGTGCAGTAAATGCTAATAATCTATGCTGCTGGCTAGTAAATGATCTGGACATTACACGAGCTTGTTGGTTGTTTTTTCACTATATGGCCTTTTTTGGGGGCTCACCAACCAGCTCCCAAATAAACACACATGGAGATTTTTTCTTACTTAAAATGTCTGGCCTTAGGTTGGCATATTTCTAGCCAGCTTTCCTTAAATTATCCCATCTACCATTTGCCACTGGGCTTTTTCCTTTTCCTAATCTTACTTTCACTCTTACTCCATGGGTACCTGGCCCCTAGCGGCCTCTGTTTTTGCTTCTCCCTCTTCTATTTATTCTCTCTGCCGGCCATCCATCCCTTCCTGCCTTGCTACTAGTCTTTCAGCTCTTTATTAGACCAATCAGTTGATTTTAACAGGCAAAGTAACACAGCTTCACAGAGTTAAACAAATGCAACAAAGAAGAATGCAACATATCTTTGCATCATTAAAAATGTTTTCACAGCATAAACAAATGTAAACATACATCTTAAAATAGTAATCTACAACATCGGCTAACCTCACCCAAATGAGGAGGTCCTAAAGGGTAAATACAGTAGAAAACTACTAAATTCAGTGTGGAGATTTATAATTCTGGTAATCTGAGAGGGCTTTGACAAGGCAGTGTCTTTGAGATACTGTCCTGGGTTATATATTGGGGTGGGGAGTGCTCCAGATAAGGTTTCTCCATGTAGTCCTGGCTGTCCTAGAACTCACACTGTAGACCAGGCTGGCCTAGAATTTATATCCACCTGTCTCTGCCTCCCAAATGCTGGGATTAAAGGCGTGCACCACCACCGCCCTGCCTTGGTTATCTTCTTAGATTATGATGGGACCAAAACTTGCCCTCACACCTCAACCTAAACAAGATTTTTGTTGTAATTACATTTCTATTTGTGGAATGGGTTCTTTGTTTTTATTTATCTGATTTTGGTTTTTTGAGGCAGTATTACTATGTAGCCCTGGCTTGCCTGGAACTCACAGATCAGCTTGCCTCTGCTTCTTAGGTGCTGAAATTGAAGCTATTTTAAGTTTTTATTGTATTGTGAGTGTACAGAAGAGAGTTTCAGATCCACTGGAGCTGCAGGTTATTGTGAGCCCATTAACATGGGTGCTGGGAACGGCTTTCATCTCCTGGAAGAGCTGCACGTGTTCTTAACCACTGAGCCACCTCTCCTGCCCTAATCACAACTTCGTAAACAAGATTCCTGTATCAGGCTTTGTCTTTTGGGCCACCCCAACCAGCTCCCAAATCATAACACAGACTTACTAGTTTTGAATTCTTGGCCCAGCTTAGGCATGTTTCTGGCTAGCTCTTTTAACTTAAATTAACTTGTTTCTCTTTACCTACCTTTTGCCTCATGGCTTTTTACCTTTTCTTTCTTGCTTACTGTCATTATGTGTGGCTGGCTTGTAGCTACATGGCTTCTTACCCTGGGCAGGTGTTCTTCTCCTCTATTTATTCTCTCTGCCTAGCTATTGGCTGCTCGGCTCTTTATTAAACCAATCAGGTTCCTTAGGCAGGCAAAGTGAAACAAATGCAACACATCTTTTCACAATTAAACACACATCTTTACATTGTTAAACAAATGCGTCAGAAACAAAAGTAACACACCTTTACATATTCCACCGCATAAACAAATGTAACACATCTTTGCCTAGTTACAATAATATTTCACAACAGTTTCCTTCCTGTTCTACTAGTATGGAATTTCACATGTTTTTAAAACTTTTCAAATCATGCACCTTCCAATTTAGTTAAAACTCAGGGTCCTGACCTTTTCTCCACTTTGTTGAAGGGTGTCAATAAGACTTCTAAATTCTTGCTGGGGTTGAGAATAGAGCTCAGTGACAGAACGGGAAAGAAATCTTGGGCTTAATACCCAGCACCACACATTAACAACAAAGAAAAAATTGTCGTGACACCAGCCCCCTTGGCCTCTTCCTCAACCACCTATGCAGATAGCATGCCACAAAGCAGTGTTCCTTTTGTCACAGTAACCTTCCCTGCTTTGGTTGCAATTTAATATCCAAGTTCTTAGATCAACTCCCCCAGCTGTCCTACCCTAAGCCTCAGAGGCTCAGTTACAACATAAGCAGAGCCTGGACCCTTGGGGGTTCAGGCTTCCTGTTGTTCTTTGAGACCGTGAATTTGTCAGGTTTGGGATAGGCGTGTGTTTCGTGTGTTTCTAACAAGCTCTAATCCAGAGCTGCAATGCATAATGCCATAATTGGAGCAGTTAGGCCCTGAGACAGGGTGTCTGACCTTTTGGTTTCTCTGGCCTTCAGTTAAGACCTCGTCTATAAATAAACAAACCTGTGACAAAGACCATCACAGGTTGGAAAAAAGTCCTCACATAGTAATTCTAACTGTACAGGTCTTGTTCATAGTCTCCTTAAAGTGTCATGTCCCGAGTTTATGATCACTAATGAAAACGAACATGTCCAAGTAATAAAACTTCACTGATTCGTGTTTTTCCGTTTTGTTTTTAGTATAAAAGTAAAAGAGGGCTGGGGATATAGTCCAGTTGGTAGAGTGGAATGGTATAGAATACCATGGTAGAGGCCAGAGGAGCAGAAGTTCCAGGCCATCCTCAAAGACATAGCAAGTTTGAGGCCAGCCTGAGAGGCATGAGATCATGACTTACAGAAGAATAAAAGGGGGCTGGTAAAAATGGGTCCAGCAATCAAAAGCTTATTTTGCTCTTGCAGAGGTCTGGAGTCCAGTTCTCAGTACCTGTGCATATATTTAACCACACATATTTAAAAAAAAATCCTAAAACAGGACTGGATAGATGGCTGCTTTTCCAGAGAACCTGAGTTCAATTCTCAGCACCCATATGGCAGCTCACAAGTCTGTAACTCCAGTTCCAGGGGATTTGACACCTTCACATAGACATACACACAGGCAAAACACCAATGCATGTAAAATAAAAATAAGTGAAATTTTAAAATCCTAAAAACAGAACTCGACAGTGGTGGTGCACGCCTTTAATCCCGGCACTCAGGAGGCAGAAGCAGACAGTTCTTTGTGAGTTCGAGGCCAGCCAGAGTGAGTTCTAAGACAGGCTCCAAAGCTACAGAGAAACCCTGTCTCGAAAAACAAACAAAAAGTATGGAATAAAATCCTAATAACAAAACAAAAATGCATGAGAAAAGATGGCAATATAAACCAGGGAAATGTTTGAGTTTTGGGAAATGAATGCATGAACGTCTGCTTCAGTGCAAGAAGTTACACTTCTCAGTGAGTCCTCAGGGTGTCTGTAAGGAGACAGCCCCAATAAAAGTCTGATAAAGGGCTGGAGAGATGGCTAGGTGGTTAAGAGTATTGTCTGCTCTTCCAGAGGTTCTGAGTTCAATTCCCAACACCCACATGACAGTTCATGACCATCTGTAACTCTAGTTCCAGGGAATCTGACACCCTTCTAGACTCCTAGGCTACTATATATATGTGGTGCATAGACAAAACACTCATACACATTAAAAACAAACAAACAAAAACCTTAGCCACATGATGTTGGTATATGATTGGTCCAGAAATCTTAAAATATGTTTTCAAATTAATGTGTCAAGTAAAAAATCAAGGCTAGAGGCTGGAGAGATGACTTAGAGGTTAAGAGCACTGACTGCTCTTCCAGAGGACCTGGGTTCAATCCCAGCATCCATGTGGCAGTTCATAACTAACTGTCTGTAACTACAGTTTCTGATACTCTTACACAGGCAAAGACACACAGGCAAAACACATGAAAAATAAATGAATAAATATTTTAAAAAGCAAGGCTATATCTTTGCTATTCACAGTACTGTGCTTAGACATACCTAACGTTATTTGACTTAATATAAGCTTGCCAGTTTCATTAGGAGACTGTTAATTTTTTTGTTGTTGTTGTTTTGAGACAGGGTTGTTGTGTGTAGCTTTGAAGCCTGTCCTGAAACTTGCTCTGTAGACAATGCTGGTCTTGAACTCACAGAGATCCACTTGCCTCTGCCTCTCCAGTGCTGGGATTAAAGGTATGAACCACCTCTGCCCAGCCCACATCTAGCATTTTAATGTGGGTTTTGGGGTTTGATCTCAGGTCCTCATGCTTGTAAAGCACATAACCACATACAGCCAGCTTGGT